CAGAGGACCCACAACAGAAAACGACCCAGTGCGTCACTTTCGTGACCCGATTTCATTTTGAACTAGCTGTACCCGGCCACGCGGTGCTGTGGCTCAGCAACACATGCGCGTTGCTGTGCCACAGCACCCCTCCCCTGTCTCCCAGTCCTCCCAAGCATTCCTCACTCCCCATTTCTCGTCCTCCCCACCATTCCCCACTCCCTCGTCTGATGCGTTCCCGCATTCCCAAATGATCTGATGTTTCCATCAGAAAAATGGGAACATCAAATGATCTGATGTTCCCATCACTGAAAATTAAGAACAGTTAAAAAAATGAAATGAAACAATAAAAAACTATACTCGCGAAATGAACGGTATGGTAAACAACACAGCTCAGTTCCAATGCAATGTCACACAAAATAATTAAATAAAAATGAAAATAAATCGAAATCTATGAAAATTCAATTTATCAATGCAATCGGAAACATTGAAATGGAATCCTAACATATTTAGTATAGCGAGTGTTGCTATTACGTGCAACAGATGGCGCTGTTTAAAAAAAAAAAACGTTTTTTCCCTGTCACAGGTGAGGCATGGATATAGTAGGTATATAAAAACGCGCGCCTATTCAAATGCAACGTCGAGTCAAAATTTCAAAGCCATCTGTAAAGAGGTTTCGTTGATTTCCCTCACATGAAACACACATGAAAATCACAGTTTTAGAAAAACAGCATGTTTTTTCCCCGTCACAGACGTGACATCTGTATAATATGTATATAAAAACACGCTTGAATGCCAATGGAACATTGTGTGAAAATTTCAAAGCAATCAGTGAAGAACTTTCGGAGATTAGCGATTTTGAACAAATGAACATTTACATTTTTATTTATATAGATTACGTCGCTTTTTAACCCGAGTGCGCATACGAGCGAAAGGCGACGTAATTTGCAAGATAACGGGTTAGATAAAGACCTTTTGTGCCCTCTGTAATCCTTTTCTGCACTACCCCTCACAGCATGAGTATGGGGTGCACAATAAACTAGCCGGCTCCGGCGACAACAACCAATCAGGTGGAAGCTGGAAGCACAAATGGACCGAAGGGACATTAGGAAGCACTCGTGTACGGCTAGTTAACAAGCGGAATGCTCTAAAAGAAGACTCATTCAGCACCGCTCCTGTGCCAGATAAGTCCACTACGGGCTCACCATGGCCCGTGCTACTTGCCCCGCTCCTGTGCCTGGTAAGTCCACTACGGGCTCACCATGGCCCGTGCTACTTGCCCCGCTCCTGTGCCTGGTAAGTCCACTACGGGCTCACCATAGCCCGTGCTACTTGCCCCGCTCCTGTGCCTGGTAAGTCCACTACGGGCTCACCATAGCCCGTGCTACTTGCCCCGCTCCTGTGCCAGGTAAGTCCACTACGGGCTCACCATAGCCCGTGCTACTTGCCCCGCTCCTGTGCCAGGTAAGTCCACTACGGGCTCACCATAGCCCGTGCTACTTGCCCCGCTCCTGTGCCAGGTACGGGCTCACCATAGCCCGTGCTACTTGCCCCGCTCCTGTGCCAGGTAAGTCCACTACGGGCTCACCATGGCCCGTGCTACTTGCCCCGCTCCTGTGCCAGGTAAGTCCACTACGGGCTCACCATAGCCCGTGCTACTTGCCCCGCTCCTGTGCCAGGTAAGTCCACTACGGGCTCACCATGGCCCGTGCTACTTGCCCCGCTCCTGTGCCAGGTAAGTCCACTACGGGCTCACCATAGCCCGTGCTACTTGCCCCGCTCCTGTGCCTGGTAAGTCCACTACGGGCTCACCATGGCCCGTGCTACTTGCCCCGCTACTGTGCCAGGTAAGTTCACTACGGGCTCACCATGGCCCGTGCTACTTGCCCCGCTCCTGTGCCTGGTAAGTCCACTACGGGCTCACCATAGCCCGTGCTACTTGCCCCGCTCCTGTGCCAGGTAAGTCCACTACGGGCTCACCATAGCCCGTGCTACTTGCCCCGCTCCTGTGCCAGGTAAGTCCACTACGGGCTCACCATGGCCCGTGCTACTTGCCCCGCTCCTGTGCCAGGTAAGTCCACTACGGGCTCACCATGGCCCGTGCAACTTGCCCCGCTCCTATGCCAGGTAAGTCCACTACGGGCTCACCATGGCCCGTGCTACTTGCCCCGCTCCTGTGCCAGGTAAGTCCACTACGGGCTCACCATAGACCGTGCTACTTGGAACTTGTTCCGAGTAGCTGAATCTATAACAACAACAATCTAAAAGAAGCTGCAGAAGCCTCCTCCATCCACAAAATTAAGACCCGATTCGACAAAGAATTTGAAAGTCAGAGTAGTTAAGTTGTAACACTTGAGTACGCGGCTAGTAAGAGGGTCAGAGAGTAGTAGTCCTCAGTTCCCAGTTGACTCTAATAGGCAAGTACATGATAACATGTGTAGCCCGGGGAACAGACATGATAACATGTGTAATATGTAGCCCGGGGAACAGGCATGATAACATGTGTAATATGTAGCCCGGGGAACAGGCATGATAACATGTGTAATATGTAGCCGGGGAACAGACATGATAACATGTGTAAATGTAGCCCGGGGAACAGGCATGATAACATGTGTAATATGTAGCCCGGGGAACAGGCATGATAACATGTGTAATATGTAGCCCGGGGAACAGACATGATAACATGTGTAATATGTAGCCCGGGGAACAGGCATGATAACATGTGTAATATGTAGCCCGGGGAACAGGCATGATAACATGTGTAATATGTAGCCCGGGGAACAGACATGATAACATGTGTAATATGTAGCCCGGGGAACAGGCATGATAACATGTGTAATATGTAGCCCGGGGAACAGACATGATAACATGTGTAATATGTAGCCCCGATAACAGACACGATAACATGTGTAATAAGTAGCCCCGGAGAACAGACATGATAACATCAGCAACACATCACTAATATTATCATACATACCACACAAAGAACAGACTGAAACAAATTATTTATTTCAAATAAAAAAAAAACATTTTTTCCTGAATAAAAATTTGAATTGAATTCTATGAGAGCGCAAATCTAGAGGCGTGTAGCAGTAGGAGAGGCGTGTGATCCCGCACCTTGTGTAACTGTTGCAACAGCTGACAGCGTCTCCGTGTTTGCCTTAGAGCTGAGAAAGACTCCAAAAGACTTTAGGTAAACAAGGTGGCCGGAACGCTGCCAGTGGATTCAAGAAGTCACACATCACGCAAACTAAACGCTCTTTTTGGCGCCAGAATTTTAAATATAGGCCTCTCTTCCGCTGTTGGATAAGTTGTCACTCAGGCCTTGTTTGTTTTAATAAGACTCTTTTTGGTATAATTGGCTTAAGGGCGTCGTCGTCATATTTATAGAATCCCATACAAAGGAAAGGGCATGACAGGTGCACGAGGCTATTAAGAATTTAACTGTCACACTTTTTTGCATTTTGTCCGAAACGCTATACGTACTAGTGGCTTTAGGTATTGTATGTATCAGCTCTATCTATAAATCCAACATTATGTTTGTAACTAATCCTCTATGTATGTACTTTTACCTGAATAAACATTTGATTTGACAAAAAATCGGAATAATGTCAATACGATACTGGGGTTTAATTATAGAAGTGCTATTCTCAGTGAACCTTTGTATACTCTAACTGGGGCCTCTTGTTAGTCCACATTTACACTACTATGTAGTTCCATTTTGGTCGCCATAACAAAGAATGGACATAAATTCACTAGAAAGTGTTCAGCGAAGGATGACACAGTTAATGCCACAAATTAGAAACTTTCCATATGAAGAGATCCTTTCAAGTGCTATATGGTCGCTATAACTGAGCACTTTCTCCTGATAATTACCTTTTCAATCTCTCTTCATTCCCACACAACACCGCTCCTGTGCCAGGTAAGTCCACTACGGGCTCACCATAGCCCGTGCTACTTGCCCCGCTCCTGTGCCAGGTAAGTCCACTACGGGCTCACCATAGCCCGTGCTACTTGCCCCGCTCCTGTGCCAGGTAAGTCCACTACGGGCTCACCATAGCCCGTGCTACTTGCCCCGCTCCTGTGCCAGGTAAGTCCACTACGGGCTCACCATAACACGTGCTACTTACTCCGCTCCTGTGCCAGGTAAGTTACGGGCTCACCATAGCCCGTGCTACTTGCCCCGCTCCTGTGCCAGGTAAGTCCACTACGGGCTCACCATAGCCCGTGCTACTTGCCCCGCTCCTGTGATAGGTAAGTCCACTACGGGCTCACCATAACCCGTGCTACTTGCCCCGCTCCTGTGACAGGTAAGTCCACTACGGGCTCACCATAGCCCGTGCTACTTACTCCGCTCCTGTGCCAGGTAAGTTACGGGCTCACCATAGCCCGTGCTACTTGCCCCGCTCCTGTGCCAGGTAAGTTACGGCTCACCATAGCCCGTGCTACTTACTCCGCTCCTGTGCCAGGTAAGTTACGGGCTCACCATAGCCCGTGCTACTTGCCCCGCTCCTGTGCCAGGTAAGTTACGGGCTCACCATAGCCTGTGCTACTTCGAACTTTTGTTCCGAGTAGCTAAATCTAAAACAACAACTGTTTTGGTAGTACTTGTAGTAACGATGAGGACCATAGTACATATATCGACATAACGTAAGTACAAATCTGCACTATTGAATTTAGACAAACCGGAAAATATTTTTTATTTATGTTCCCAAGACAACCAAAACTAACCTAAGCCTAAGGTACTCTAAGGCCTAATATCGTACATATGTGTGCTATACTAGGCCTAGGGATATTTAAGTTTTTTTAGGCTTAATTTTTCGAACTATAAAGTTAATAGTGCCAAAATCAACTAATTGCTTAGTACTTGTTCAATATTTGTACTATGGTGCAGACAGTAACAAAAACTAGTGTGTAAACATGAGGATGGGTTAATATATACGGTATATGATCTTCCTGTGGTCTAATTAAACGACACATTTAGTGAGTTATAAGTAGACTGTATGGTAACCCACTGCCAGGCTCGGCCCACCTCCCCAAGCTCAGCCCACCTCCCCCCCAGGCTCGGCCCACCTCCCCCCAGGCTCGGCCCACCTCTCCCCAGGCTCAGCCCACCTCCCCCAGGCTGAGCCCACCTCCCCCAGGCTCAGCCCACCTCTCCCAAGCTCAGCCCACCTCTCCCCAAGCTCAGCCCATCTCTCCCCAAGCTCAGCCCACCTCTCCCCAGGCTCAGCCCACCTCTCCCCAGGCTCAGCCCACCTCTCCAAGCTCAGCCCACCTCTCCCCAACCTCAGCCCACCTCTCCCCAACCTCAGCCCACCTCCCCCCAACCTCAGCCCACCTCCCCCCAACCTCAGCCCACCTCCCCCCAACCTCAGCCCACCTCCCCCAACCTCAGCCCACCTCCCCCAACCTCAGCCCACCTCCCCCCAACCTCAGCCCACCTCTCCCCAACCTCAGCCCACCTCCCCCCAACCTCAGCCCACCTCCCCCAACCTCAGCCCAAGGCATATCTCAATCCTTAAAAACTTGCTTTACTGAAATCTAGTGTCCCTACAGACCTTCTCATGCAGCATTTTTCGATGCTGGTTTCAATGTAATTTCTTTATTATTAGCGTTCCCTAACATGCTCCCTATTCCTATGTAATTTATTACCGTCTCCCTATTGGTGAGAACTCAGGTCAATATATTGTGTTCCATATTGGTTCCATAATGTGGCGTTTCATAGAGCAGTCATCCACCATTTCCAGCAGTTTATATATATATATATATATATATATATATATATATATATATATATATATATATATATATATATATACACAAGAAGGTACATTGGGTTTGTGAGAATACATTGAATAGTACAGTATTTACAATCTTGTAAAGCCACTAGTACGCGCAGCGTTTCGGGCAGCGTTTTCGCCCTATTATACATTGTCAGATCTCGATGCCTTAGATGTTGAGAGAGTGGTAGAGGCGGTGACCCGGAGCTAGAGACGTGTGTCGTTCACATGTACACTTAGTAATATCCTGGAGACATTAATGATTACACTTGTGGTTGTGGGAGTTCAGAGGGAGCTACACGTGTTCAGAGGGAGCTACACGTGTTCAGAGGGAGCTACACGTGTTCAGAGGGAGCTACACGTGTTCAGACAATCATCAACATGGGTTCAAAGACTAAGTCATGTGTGACAAACCTGCTTATTAAGGTCATTGTTGACAAGATGTCAATAATGACGGGGAAAAGGAGGCTGGGCTGACTGCATCTTACCGGACTACCAGAAACCCTTCGCTGTGTTCCACACACGGCGAAAGGTAAACTGTATTCCCTTGTACTCACCTGTCTAAACAATACCCGTGTACCCACCTGTCTAAACAATACCCGTGTACCCACCTGTCTAAACAATACCCGTGTACCCACCTGTCTAAACAATACCCGTGTACTCACCTGTCTAAACAATACCCCTTGTACCCACCTGTCTAAACAATACCCGTGTACCCACCTGTCTAAACAATACCCGTGTACCCACCTGTCTAAACAATACCCTGGTACCCACCTGTCTAAACAATACTCGTGTACCCACCTGTCTAAACAATACCCGTGTACCCACCTGTCTAAACAATACCCGTGTACCCACCTGTCTAAACAATACCCGTGTACTCACCTGTCTAAACAATACCCGTGTACTCACCTGTCTAAACAATACCCGTGTACCCACCTGTCTAAACAATACCCGTGTACCCACCTGTCTAAACAATACCCGTGTACTCACCTGTCTAAACAAACCCTTGTACCCACCTGTCTAAACAATACCCGTGTACCCACCTGTCTAGACAATACCCGTGTACCCACCTGTCTAGACAATACCCGTGTACCCACCTGTCTAAACAAAACCCGTGTACCCACCTGTCTAAACAAAACCCGTGTACCCACCTGTCTAAACAATACCCGTGTACCCACCTGTCTAAACAATACCCGTGTACCCACCTGTCTAAACAATACCCGTGTACCCACCTGTCTAAACAATACCCGTGTACCCACCTGTCTAAACAATACCCGTGTACCCACCTGTCTAAACAATACCCGTGTACCCACCTGTCTAAACAATACCCGTGTACCCACCTGTCTAAACAAACCCGTGTACCCACCTGTCTAAACAAACCCGTGTACCCACCTGTCTAAACAAACCCGTGTACCCACCTGTCTAGACAAACCCGTGTACCCACCTGTCTAAACAATACCCGTGTACCCACCTGTCTAAACAATACCCGTGTACCCACCTGTCTAAACAATACCCTTGTACCCACCTGTCTAAACAATACCCTTGTACCCACCTGTCTAAACAAACCCTTGTACCCACCTGTCTAAACAATACCCGTGTACCCACCTGTCTAAACAATACCCTTGTACCCACCTGTCTAAACAATACCCGTGTACTCACCTGTCTAAACAAACCCTTGTACCCACCTGTCTAAACAATACCCGTGTACCCACCTGTCTAAACAATACCCCTTGTACCCACCTGTCTAAACAATACCCCTTGTACCCACCTGTCTAAACAATACCCCTTGTACCCACCTGTCTAAACAATACCCTTGTACCCACCTGTCTAAACAATACCCTTGTACCCACCTGTCTAAACAATACCCGTGTACCCACCTGTCTAAACAATACCCGTGTACCCACCTGTCTAAACAATACCCGTGTACCCACCTGTCTAAACAATACCCGTGTACCCACCTGTCTAAACAATACCCGTGTACCCACCTGTCTAAACAATACCCGTGTACCCACCTGTCTAAAAATACCCGTGTACCCACCTGTCTAAAAATACCCGTGTACCCACCTGTCTAAAAATACCCGTGTACCCACCTGTCTAAAAATACCCGTGTACCCACCTGTCTAAACAAACCCATGTGCCCACCTGTCTAAACAAACCCATGTACCCACCTGTCTAAACAAACCCATGTACCCACCTGTCTAAACAAACCCATGTGCCCACCTGTCTAAACAAACCCATGTGCCCACCTGTCTAAACAAACCCATGTACCCACCTGTCTAAAAATACCCGTGTACCCACCTGTCTAAACAAACCCATGTACCCACCTGTCTAAACAATACCCGTGTACCCACCTGTCTAAACAATACCCTTGTACCCACCTGTCTAAACAAACCCTTGTACCCACCTGTCTAAACAAACCCTTGTACCCACCTGTCTAAACAATACCCTTGTACCCACCTGTCTAAACAAACCCTTGTACCCACCTGTCTAAACAAACCCTTGTGCCCACCTGTCTAAACAAACCCTTGTACCCACCTGTCTAAACAAACCCTTGTACCCACCTGTCTAAACAAACCCTTGTGCCCACCTGTCTAAAAATACCCGTGTACCCACCTGTCTAAACAAACCCTTGTACCCACCTGTCTAAACAATACCCGTGTACCCACCTGTCTAAACAAACCCATGTACCCACCTGTCTAAACAATACCCGTGTACCCACCTGTCTAAACAATACCCGTGTACCCACCTGTCTAAACAAACCCTTGTACCCACCTGTCTAAACAATACCCGTGTACCCACCTGTCTAAACAAACCCGTGTACCCACCTGTCTAAACAATACCCGTGTACCCACCTGTCTAAACAAACCCGTGTACCCACCTGTCTAAACAATACCCGTGTACCCACCTGTCTAAACAAACCCTTGTGCCCACCTGTCTAAAAATACCCGTGTACCCACCTGTCTAAACAAACCCTTGTACCCACCTGTCTAAACAAACCCTTGTGCCCACCTGTCTAAACAAACCCTTGTACCCACCTGTCTAAAAATACCCGTGTACCCACCTGTCTAAACAAACCCGTGTACCCACCTGTCTAAACAAACCCTTGTACCCACCTGTCTAAACAAACCCTTGTGCCCACCTGTCTAAACAAACCCTTGTACCCACCTGTCTAAACAAACCCTTGTACCCACCTGTCTAAACAAACCCTTGTGCCCACCTGTCTAAACAAACCCATGTGCCCACCTGTCTAAACAAACCCTTGTGCCCACCTGTCTAAACAAACCCATGTACCCACCTGTCTAAACAATACCCTTGTACCCACCTGTCTAAACAATACCCATGTACCCACCTGTCTAAACAATACCCTTGTACCCACCTGTCTAAACAATACCCATGTACCCACCTGTCTAAACAATACCCATGTACCCACCTGTCTAAACAATACCCTTGTACCCACCTGTCTAAACAATACCCTTGTACCCACCTGTCTAAACAATACCCATGTACCCACCTGTCTAAACAATACCCTTGTACCCACCTGTCTAAACAAACCCTTGTACCCACCTGTCTAAACAAACCCTTGTGCCCACCTGTCTAAAAATACCCGTGTACCCACCTGTCTAAACAATACCCGTGTACCCACCTGTCTAAACAAACCCTTGTACCCACCTGTCTAAACAATACCCGTGTACCCACCTGTCTAAACAAACCCATGTGCCCACCTGTCTAAACAAACCCATGTACCCACCTGTCTAAACAATACCCTTGTACCCACCTGTCTAAACAAACCCTTGTACCCACCTGTCTAAACATGTACCCACCTGTCTAAACAATACCCTTGTACCCACCTGTCTAAACAAACCCATGTACCCACCTGTCTAAACCCGTGTACCCACCTGTCTAAACAAACCCTTGTACCCACCTGTCTAAACAAACCCTTGTACCCACCTGTCTAAACCCTTGTACCCACCTGTCTAAACAATACCCTTGTACCCACCTGTCTAAACAATACCCATGTACCCACCTGTCTAAACAAACCCTTGTACCCACCTGTCTAAACAAAATGACCCATCACCGCAGACTGCTTACGAAACCTGTGCATCTTTAACCCATCGTGGCGGCTTTGTTTACATTTAACCGCTCGTCAACAGGTTAATATTAACAGGCTTCGTAATTGGTGGCATAAATGGATATCTTTTTGAGGTTATCTTGAGATAATTTCGGGGCTTAGCGTCCCCGCGGCCCGGTCCTCAACCAGGCCTCCATGCTCCCCGTGCTCAGCCCACCTCCCCCCGTGCTCAGCCCACCTCCCCCCGTGCTCAGCCCACCTCCCCCCGTGCTCAGCCCACCTCCCCCCGTGCTCAGCCCACCTCCCCCCGTGCTCAGCCCACCTCAGCCCACCTCCCCCGTGCTCAGCCCACCTCCCCCATGCTCAGCCCACTTCCCCCCAAGCTCAGCCCCCGAGGGCTACTAATACTATAGTGGCCTCGATGAGGAGTGGAAGCCGGCGGCTTGTCAATGGGTGGGTGCTTGGGCGCCTGACAGCTGGGTGGACGGCGCTTCGGATTCGTAGTCCTGAGGATCCGGGTTCGATTCCCAGTGAAGGCGGAGACAAATGAGCAAAAAGTTTCTTTCATCCTAATGCCCCTGTTACCTAGCAGTAAATAGGTACCTGGGAGTTAGACAGCTGCTACGGGCTGCTTCCTGGGGGTGTGTAACAAACAGAAGGCCTGGCCGAGGACCGGGCCCCAGAGACGCTAAGCCCCGAAATCATCTCAAGATAACCTCAAGATGGTCTTAATGTAGCCCCAATGGGAATAAATTATTTATTTATTTTAAGCCATTAGGCTAAACTAGAGAAAATTTGAGTGTTTGCTGCCAGACTTAATCATGCAGGACCGAGCTGTGAGCAAATGTTGAAAACTAGACCTCGTGTCTAAGTTTTCTTGTTGGAAAAGAACAAGGTGACATGATCACGATATGAATAATTCTTTAGAGATCTGACACAAACACGAAAACAGATCTATACAGCCTAGCGGTTCATATGACGTTCATTTTTCACATTACTCGCATAACGAAGGACTTGAGATGAATAACAGAGTAGGCTGAATACAAAGGGCCAGGTGAATATCAGAGTGGGATGAGTGAGATAAACCAATTTACCCATCTGGGGCCAGATTCACGAAGCAGTTACGCAAGCACTTACGAACGTGTACATCTTTTCTCAATCTTTGGCGGCTTTGTTTACAATTATTAAACAGTTAATGAGCTCCGAAGCACCAGGAGGCTGTTTATAACAATAACAACAGTTGATTGGCAAGTTTTCATGCTTGTAAACTGTTTAATAAATGTAACCAAAGCCGTCACAGATTGAGGAAAGATGTACACGTTCGTAAGTACTTGCGTAACTGCTTCGTGAATCTGGCTCCTGGTGGCGCTGCAGAATAGGCCTATTTATACTGGCAGCTGGCGGCAGTGGGCACATTACTAGGCCTACCACCCAAGATCACCGCCTGGAGCTGTGATCTTGGGATCTAGGGTCGTGATGTTGGGATCTTGGGTCGTGATCTTGGGATCTTGGGATCGTGATCTTGGGATCTTGGGTCGTGATCTTGGGATCGTGATCTTGGGATCGTGATCTTGGGATCTTGGGATCTTGGGATGATCTCAGCCTCATCACTCGGTGATGAGGCTGCTCATGGTGACCAGCGGGGCTGGCCACAAGAACAATGTTACACTAAATTAGATTTTAGATTTAGATTTGCTACTCAGGTAACGTCCACACACATTGAAGATGAGTTACAAACATAATGTTGGAACTTAAAGACAGAGTTAGTACATACAATACCTAAAGCCACTAGTACGCATATAGTGTTTCGTGCAGACACGAAGCAGAGGGAGATATATACATGTATATAGGAGTATAAAAGGGGGGACTATATATGGTGGGTGTAGGAGCGTATAGAGCCCAGGTGGTGGAGAAGACTCACCTACTGGTGCCACGACTGGGAGTGGTGCTGGTGCCTGACGGTGGGTGCTAGGAGACTGCCAGGGGCAGTGTCACATGGCCCTGGCGACGACGGGTCCACTTGCCACACACAACACACAAGGAACCTCCTCCCCGGCCAGCTGCTAGGCTCACACTGGCCCGCCCACACTATACCTTACCTTATAACCCCACACCCCAACCACTTAGTCTACGGCCAGTATATGCAGCGAGCACTCCCCATATGGCTACCACAAGACTGCAGGTTGTTCATTTATCTAAATGGCATAAAAAGAAGGATGTAAGAAGCTGGAGTAGAACAAGTTGATCTTGCGCGGTGTCATGGGGGTCGTGAGTTGGTGTGGGCCCGCACCGCCGACCTCAAGTATCGCTCGATATCTCTCGCCTGTGTCTCTCAATACTTGCTTCAAGTTTAACTTATTCATTACAACCTTCTTTAGATAATGATAAATTTTATTTTTTTATAAAGCATTATGTCTATATTTTTAATCACCTGCATATCTCATTCTTCGTTGTAAATAAATACAGTAAACAGATTGTTATTTGAAAGAAGTAATTACGCTTAAGACATAACTTGACGCTATAATAACACTCTACGCTAAACCCATTAATCGTACAAAATAAAAATATGAAATATTTGCCACAATATAAACAAAAGTACCCTATATACATTCAACAAATGTGGGGTCTGCAGTGACGACCCAAAGAGTAGACGTGAGCCCCATCCGTTACGTCGCCATGACAACCTCTCCCCTCACTGATGCTCACTGTCAGGAGGACAGCGTGGCGCGCCACACATCTCCCCTCACGACATGCTCCTTCACACACAACATCACTCTACCGTAAACCTCGACACCATTACTCACACAAGAACACCAGGCAAGAAAATGAGAGCCGATTCCCACTGGTAAAGGATAAAATAATTAAACCAGGGGTGGTATTTGAGGTCAAAGGCGGTAGGGAAGAACTATAGGGCCGGGGTAACTAGGTCACGAATGACTGTCATCAGAAAGAGCGCAATGGAGAAGAAATATTATTAATAAATTTTAGGTCATCATTATTATATATATGTTTATATATATATATATATATGTATATATATATATATATATATATATATATATATATATATATATATATATATATATATATATATATATATACAAGAGTTCTTACATTCTTGTATAGTCACTAGTATGCATAGCGTTTCGGGCAAGTCCTTAATCCTAATTTTCACAAACATCCCCAGCTGGCAGCTGTCTAACTCCCAGGTACCTATTTACTGCTAGGTGAACATGTGTTGATAAATATAACTGGGGGCTCCTCCCCTCCAGTTATATTTATTAACATAACTCCCCCCCCCCCCCCAATACTAGGGAGCCTGACGGGTGAGTGGACAGCGCTCGGGGTTCGCAGTCATAAGAGTTCGGGTTCGATCCCGGCAGAGGCGGAAACAATTGGGCAGAGTTTCTTTCACCCTGATACCCATGTTCGCCTAGCAGTAAATAGGTACCTGGGAGTTAGACAGCTGCTAAGGGCTGCTTCCTGGGATGATGATTGTGTCTGAAAATTAGGATTAAGAACTTGCCCAAAATACTATGCGTGCTAGTGGCTGTACAAGAATGTAAGAACTCTTGTGTGTATTTATATTATATTATATTATATTATATATACTTATATATATATATGATAGCTATATATATATATATATATATATATATATATATATATATATATATATATATATATATATATATATATATATATATATATATATATATATATATATATATATATATATATATATATATATATATATATATATATATGCGAACAAGCCTGAATGGTCCCCAGGGATATATACAACTGAAAACTCACACCCCAGAAGTGACTCGAACCCATACTGTCAGGAGCACTCTGCAACTGGTGCGCATTTGTGTTCCTCGTGTTGTAACGGGTGGTGGTGGAAATGGCTCTCTCTAGTCCATTATTCCACCCCCCAGTTAACTAACGAGGCCGGGGGAAACTGGTCTCTTTAGTCCGTTATCCCGTCCCCAGTTAGCTAACTATTCTAGAGCACCCCCCCCCCCCCCCTCCCAGAGCTCCTACGGCAACCTCTCTCGTTCAACACCTTGTAAACACGACTAAGTCACCTTTCATGCTCAATTCACCAAGTGTCTGCCTATAGCTGGATAGAGAGGGAGGGGGGGGGTCGGGAGGGTTTGTAGTTGACAGAGACTGTCCCGCCCCGTCCGGCTGACAGCCTCCCTGGCTAGGCTGTCTTTCCAATCAAAGAAAGTTTCCTCTCTCCAAAAACTTTCCAATCAAAGTTCCAACTCTTATATTACCTGTTAATTGGCGAAGGATGTTATTCATATTGCTGGCTGCTTCTGGATTAAACGTCATTGTAGCTCTTCATACATATGTTGGCGACGGCGCTTAATGGAAATTGCAAATGGCTGAAGTTTTATAAACACAAAAATCACCAATAACTGGAGCACGAACTTCCCCCAAGGAGCACCGGAGGTCGACTACCGTCTTCCACAGATCTTGGATAAAGTCAACGACCCAATGAACTCGTCACACACCAACAACTGTTGCAAGCACCCTAATCTAATTACACAATTATCAACAATATTGACTATTTATTGCTAGTACAATTGGTTTTGTTAAAATGTTGTTATATTTAACTACTGACATGGTATCGTAAATCACAATTATCAACTGCCTTTACTCGTGGTCAGAAAGAAGGGTTCAATAAGAGTTCAAATGCCGCAGGTAAACAGCCTAACACAATATTTAGCCCTTTACACTTCCCCAAACGACAAGGCCCAGAGAACCAGAGAAGTGTCATTCATGAGGCAATCATTAATAAATGCATCACAAATGTTACTTCTAGAAAAGTCTTGTACACATTTTGGGTTTGTGTAGTGTCCGCAACCCCGTCCTCCTGTTTATATAGCACTTTTGTTTAACTATGTGGACCATCCTAGATATATTGACGTAATGGACAATTAGAATTTGGTACTAATCATTTTATAGTCCGGGAAAAAATTAAGTTAAAACCAAACTTAAATATTCCTAGGCCTAGTATAGCTTATATATGTATATATTTTTGAGAGATATATAGAAGAGTTGTTACATTCTTGTACAGCCACTAGTACGCGCAGCGTTTCGGGCAGGTCCCTGGAATACGATCCCCGCCGCGAAGAATCCTTGTTACAACCAAGTACACATTTTACTGTTGAGTTAAACAGAGGCTACAGTTAAGGATTTGTGCCCAGTAAATCCTCCCCGGCCAGGATACGAACCCATGACAAAGCGCTCGCGGAACGCCAGGCGAGTGTCTTACCACTACACCACGGAGACTGTTAATATATACATATATAATTCCTTGTATGGCAGGCAGCCAGTGTATACATACACATCATCCACACCAACCCGAGAACGGCATACAATGACCCCTCCATTTTGGGCAGGTGTAATTTACGTAATATGTGGAAAATGCAGAGAGTAGTTTAATTCAAGGCAGGTGGCATAAGTCTCCACATTTTACCCTCCTTCAAAGAGTTCAGTTAGGGACATCTTTATCTGCAGACGATGTGTGGCTGATAATAATACAGATAATAATGTGGCAGAAGATATGACATCCAAACCACACATCAGAAAATGAAGAGACAACAGCGTTTCGGTCCATCCTGGACCATTATCAAGTAGAGTAATGGAAAGCGTGTGGAAGAGATAGACAGGTGGTATGAATGAGATGAAAGAAAAATAGGTTGAAAGGAAAGAATTAGATGATAAGGAAGAAAAGGATAAGAATAAAGTTTATCAGGTAAAGAAAAGGTTAGAAGGGAAGAAAAAGTAGGAATAGGAAAAAAGGTATTAATAAGAGTTGGAAAAAATATAAAATAAAAATATAAGAAAACTACACGAAGCCTAATGGTGAAGAGAGAAAATTGTAGTAATGTAAGAGACAGACAGTAAAAAGAGCTTAGAGGAGGCCAAGGTCAGTCAGATCACGTTTGTTAAGAAAGTTAGAGCATTTAATTATGTACTGTGAAAGGGAAGAGTCAATAGCAACAAAGCCAGGACTAAGGTTCATATTGGGTAGATTGTGCATCAGAGTCGATTCCACGAGACGGCGTCTGTGAAGTGTAGAGGCAGGAAAGATTATTTTATTAGACGACCGATCAATATGATTATTAAGAGTCCCTAACATAACAGAAGAGAGCACTGTTTATGTCTTCAGACTTAACACTTCTTTTGTATTCCTTAAGTCTGTCATTCAGTGTACGGCCAGTTCCACCAAAGTATTGGAGAGAACAAATAGAAAATAGAGAAGACACCAGCAGCATTGCAAACAGAAGCGTGAACCACGAAGTGTTAGTTTGTCGAAACGCGAGTTTTACATCAGGACGAAGGGTATTAGTGAGATTTTAGAGTTCAGATATGAAGGCAAAGCACAGCAGTGTTACTATTATTGGAAACAGATTTGGTATGAAATAAATTTAATTTAGCTTGAGGATAGGCACAGTTGATAAAATGTAAGGGGTAACCCAGGCAAGAGAAAGAATTGTAAATAATATTAATTTCAGAATCGAGAAACAGAGAGTCACTGATGTATAGGGTCCAGAGGAAGACACACACAAGAACACTTTTCTTCATTTTCTGATGTGTGGTCACGTCTTTCTGATTAAGTAAGTAATTATCAAAAGAAGGCACCAAACCGGGAAGGCTATGTAGCATCATCAAAGTGCAAAATAATCAGAGGACGCCAAATATCACCAAGAATACCAGTACGAGAACAGAAACGCATAAGGCGAAAATATCAAGTCTTTCTGATTAAGGTTTCGGAGGAATTGTTTTACATCAAAATGGCTTTGGCACAGGTGTGCATAGAAGATATTAATCTGGAAATGGATGAACAGATCAGAATCCACCACAGGAACGGCCACTGGATTACACATTACACATAGATAAAGACAGGCTCTTTAACACAAGGGGACACAGGTGGAAATTGAATGCCCAAATGAGTCACAGATATTAGAAAAAACTTTTTTTTAGGATCAGAGTGGTTGACAAATGGAATGCACTAGGAAGTGATGTGGTGGAGGCTGACTCCATACACAGTTTCAAGTGTAGATATGATAAGAGCCCAATAGGCTCAAGAACCTGTACACCAGTTGATTGACAGTTGAGAGGCGGGACCAAAGCCAGAGCTCAATCCCCGCAAGCACAAATAGGCAAGTACATTTCACAGGTGCAAGGGATGAGTGGATCTTCTAAAAGGCATAGTCACCCACAAGTTTCAATGAGTGAAAATAGTGAGGGGAGGTGAAGCATAAACCAACAAATAAGGACTTTTAGTAATTTATGCCCCCATCCATCACAAACAAAGGCAAAGCAATAGCCCCGAGGACAGTAAACGGAAGTCTTCACCGATGAGTATAATGGCAGACTGGCGACCAGTAGGCCTCTTCAATGCTCATGCCATCAGAAGCTGCAGCCCCTGAGTTAACTCAACTCCCAGGTGAAAGGAAATGAAGATTATGCAGGTTTTTATCCATGGTGAACACAAGGGTTGCCTAAATGTACATGGTCTGGTTATCATTTCCCTTCACACGCCATGGTAGAAAAATGTAGCTTTACAGGCCATTCTCACCTGCCCATTGGATCATCGAAGCAATCGAGCTCCCTATGCACCGTCATTCAGTACCATTGCAAGACCACCTAGACACCCATTCTCGTCTTCTCTCTCTCAACATATACTAGTCTTAAAGCTTTCCTCATAATTGTGAAATAAATGCCTTACCTTTTAGTCTAATTACACAGTACTTATGAGGTTAATGAAGCCAAAATTAGCAAGCTCCCTCTTAGATTCAATAATGAAAATAAACGAAAAAACAATTCTTTAGGTTCACATTTGTATATTTGTTTAACTTGTACAAAAAGGTTATCAGTATCAATACTGAAATAACTATACAAATATGCCGTCTCTGATAAAAAGTCGATACTGTATAAACCTTTACAAGGAAGTCGGTAACAAACTGCAGTCTATTGATGAAACATCAATGTAACAAACCCTGCATGTGCAGCCACAGCCATCCACTTACTCCAAGTATGAAACAATACATGGTTCTCCTTCAAAGTCATGCAGATAATTTTCTCACAAAGCCTGAATGTACACAGTCTCTTTAATTAAGTTTTGGTATACCAACATGGTAATGCAAAAGGTGGCCCAAAGTTTCGTTTAAAGTTAGGTTTTTACAAAAAGCAGTTTCCAGCTGCCTACATTACATTTAAGGTTTATAAGATATGCTAAAATTAAAAATGTTACCTTAATATCTCCAATCCATACCAATAATCAACCTGTATAAATAAAATACTGTACTTGTAACAGATAGTATTGTATATCAGAATATTCTTCTCTAAAAGTTTTACAGAAAATTATGACTTCCATTATGTACTAAAAGACTATTTTATATAAATATTTATTGCCAGTCTTGCTTTTCTGACAAAATAGTAATTGGGCATCACCAGATGAGGGAGAACCGGGCAAGGGAGTACCATTACATATTTACCATACACTAATTCTAGAAATTATCATACACTGGTTTCTCACCCCAGCTACAAATATAACTTTCTAGCACATTAGCATGATGTGTTTATCAGCATAAGGTACTTTATGCTGATAAACAATGTTGTACTCCAGAATTATAACTTGCCAAACGCACCATCTCGTAAAAGAACATTTCACCGCATAGACCTTTAAGGGTGCTAATCATGGCACAGTTTTGCCTGATGGTATTCCAAGGCTTGAAAGCATTAAGGACCAGCATTACTTGTCACTTTATTCAATACAAGTAGCTATTGCAATAGTTCTTGTAACAAGTGAAAACCTTCACAAAACTGTAACAACCATCATGGAACTTTTACACAATGCAAAATGAAATTTTAACCTCAATCTCTTTTCCTCCTCTTGTCACGGTCATCTCGTCCACGATCCTCAGTATTTGAATTTCTTTTGCTGGCTTTTTTGGCTTCTGAGAGCAAACCAATGACACCGAACAAGTCATCTTCATCTTTCTCATCAGCACCTGATCGCTGAAATTCAACTGGACCAGACCTACTCGTACCAGAATCTGCACCAGAGAATCCACGATCTGGGACAAATCGATTGGTGGACATGAGATGCTCTATACCTGAACCATAATCGTTCTCTGCCGTTCTGGTCGGTCGGTAAATATTAGAACCAATATTTCCAGTGTCACGCCAAGGCGCGTCATATACATCATACGCTTCGTCATCACCAAAGCCTGTATCCATGCCACGTGACTGGTTAAAGAGACGTTGATCGAACTGAGCCTCGCCTCCCCCAGATGTGTTCTGAGGCAAGCCTAGGGCAATCTGTTCTGTAACATCCCGTTCACGTGTGGCCAGTTTACCACGTTTATCAGCAGCTGCATTTGCCACACCAGTTTCCCGTTTACGTTCCCTAGAAAAAATGTAAATACATACATTAAATAAACAATGACAAATTATTCTTACTCCAACATCTTAGATATCCTATTTTTGACATTTTTTCCTCCTTTTTCATGTTACCTTATTTTTTACCCTAATGTCTTTTTTCTCAAAATTTAATCATATTTTGCTCTCCAAGAAAACAACAAATATTTTGCATGCTTAAATCATATACCTACGTTAAGAGATAACATTTAAAACCTCAGTCCATGCACCAAGAAAAACTTTTTCAAGTCATGTAATATGAGACCAGATCTTCTAACTTTCAAAACATACCTGGACCCCGTAAATGTTGCCATTTGTTAGCAACAGACTCAAATGCCACACCATGAAGTAACACCAAACTCACCACCCTCATTCATCACATATTTCTACAACATTTGTTTGCATAATTAAGGTATGTTATGTTGTTTTATATATTGCAACATGTTGTGAACAACTTCTATTTGACTAACTATAGGCAAACTTAGCACTTAAATTGAATTATACAATTTAAAAAATTTACCGAGCACGGTCCTGACGCAGTTTCTCTCTCTCCTTTTCAGCATCATCAGTTGGTCCTGAAGGAACTGGACGAAGCCCTGCGTGTTCTTCTCTCGCCTTCTTAGCCAGCACCTTAAGTGACTCTTCTTTTCTGAACTTCTCTTTCTGAGCTAATTTCTTTTCTATTTGTGCTCGCATTTCAACCTGTTAGAAAAATAACATTTTAAGATGGCCATGTAGAAAAATATTATATTCAAGCAAATTTCTCCTTTCCAAAGTAGAAATATGATTGATTTCATGAGCAACCTATGGCCCAACCAATATTATCTCAAGTCCTTCACAAAGGATTCAAGTATTTGGCAGATGCTACATTGAATGCCTAAAATAAATTGCTAAATACTGAAATAAAAGTGTTTAAATGCAAACATATTATTGCATAAAATGGCACTTGGAGAAGTGAATGCAAAATGCTGAAGACAGCAGTAGCTTGCAACAGCACACACACACACACAGCGCTCAAGAAGCTCAGGAATCTTCTATACACCAGTAGATTGATAGTCGAGAGGTGGGACCAAAGAGCCAAGAGCTCAACCCCACAAGCACAACTAGGTGAGTACACATTAATACAATTATTAATACCACCAGTAAGAATAGTATGTCTAGAAAACATCCATGTCAGTCCCAGAACCTCAAGATTACTTCACAAAAAATATGTTAATACAAATGTAAAAGTTTTACGATATGAAATTGAGTTTGAAGTCAGCAAGAAAAAATAAAATGCAAAGCCTGTTTTCAGGCATGGAGATCTGAATATATATAGTCTGAATATGTGTAGTCAACTGTCAACCCGCCTATCTATATCTGTCTACTTACAGACCAGCCTGTCATGAATGAATGAATTAAATATAGGTCAGGATACCTGGCAGAGTGAGCTGGGAAGTGGGTTAGCTTGAAGAATAGCCAGTGAGAGGAAACGTCAAAGTCGGAGAGACAGAGCCAGGGCTAAACCCAGCTGCATAGTATATCTGAGGCTCTCTAAACCGGCCCAACTAGGCAAGGAAGCGGGGTCATGTGTTGGGGTATTGTGCCGGGGTGACGAGTGTCTTTCATGCCTGTAGTCTGTTTATTAGTTCAAGAATACATAAACAGCATGACAAGCATTAGCTGAAGCTTCATCCTCTGTTGCTCACAATACACCTTGAAGGTCCCGGTAGTACAAGTGGGTTCGTTCTCGACGCACAATAGAGAATTCCAGGTTCAAATCCCAGGCGGAAATGAAATGGTTGGGCACATTTCCTTTCACCTAATGCCTCTGTTTACCTAGCAGTGAGTAGGTACTCAGCTTGTTGTGGGGTTGCATCTTGGGCAGGATCAGTAACTCAGCCTTGGGGGGACCTTGATATAAGCCAAAACATGTATGAATACACTCTGGCTTCCTGTCCCCCGACAAAATGAATTATTAATTATACAGTACTGCACTGAATACTTTCATATGCTGTATAAGATAATCAAACCATTCACACTATTTTATTGTAAATAAATATCAAATCAATAAGGTTTTGTAATGCTAGTAGCAATAAATAAAAAACTTGCATAAAAAACGAGATTGCACGTGTGTGTTGACGTGATTGCGACTTGTCCTCAGCCCCAGTCATTAACTTGTTTGCCCTTTAATTCACTAACCTGTCTTCATTCTGAGTGTACTAATCTTTCATCATGTTTACTAGCACCAATATGACCTGACGAGAACATTTTGAAAAGTTCGTCTCGGCAGCAGCACAGAAAGTCGACCAACTGTAACTGTGCCAGATCCAGACCTGAGGTCAGTAGAATATTGCCCGAGGGAGCAACCGAGTGCGATAGCACAGAAAACAACAAAGTAAACTATAATGTATACAGGATATACCTAATAACCTAAAGAAAACACAGTAACAAGTTTAAAAGTATATTAACTGAGTTACGAGAAAATTAAACAAGAAATTTTTGCACAAGACACAAATACACCATGAAATACATTCCCATTAAATAAGAAAATGGCATCAGTAAAGTAATTATCAAAAGAAGGCACCAAGCCGGGAAGGCTATGTAGCACTGGCATCAGTAAGTCTATAAACGTTGGCTATTATTAAGATCCCCCTGATCCTGATGAATTTGTAAATTTTATTTTTTAATAAATATTACATATAAAGCCATTTGAGTGCTTATGAATGAATGAGTACGAATAACTTCAATTCTCACCTGTTCTCGGGCCTTTCTGTCAGCAATATACAGAGCTTCAGCCAACTTGGCAAACTTCTCATTAATGTGTACTGACTGCAGACCTCGCCCGTCTGCTGCTAGTCGTTTGTCAAGTGGAATTGTGTATCCCTTGGCATTCTTCCAGTTGCTAACACATGGAGGTATTCTCCACTCCTGCTGCTCTTTCACTGTTACCTAAAAAATATTCATACTACATTTAATTATACATTTCTAAAACTCATTTATCTTTATTCTTTAACAATTAAAATTAAGCATGTTACTGTACATTACTACTTAATATGAATAACATAAGAACATCTCTCAACTTCAACTAGATATTGCAACTAATTGACTACAATTAACTTAATTGTAGGTTAATTGTATAATTAAGCTGTTTTTATCATCTAGTAGGGCAACATTCCAACTCCATTTCTAAGCCCCTCCCTTCACTATGCCCACATAACACATCATTTCCCCCAAGAGAATTTACACTCTGAGAAACAGCAACAACTCAACATTAATGTACCTCAATTCAACCTAAACATATTGTACAATATAACTTTTCCCATCAGGCATGCCTATATGTTATTCTCAAATATTATCATCTGTCCAACTGTACTATGAATGCCCCATACTGCACATTTATTATCCTTTCAACATTAGTACAGTAATAACAATTATAATGCATACTTAATTAACTAATTATTCTTAACTTTTCCCACACTACTTCAGTCTTCCTTACCTTGCGTGTGGGAGAGTGCATTACTGGAGCTGGAGGAGACGGAGGACCTCGCGGAACTTTCTTGTTAATTCTGAAATGAATGTACCAGTTAACCCTTAAGCTACGAGGATTAATATACACTTTGAATAAGTAATGGATTGGTACAATCTTGAGGCCATTGATAGTTATACCCCTAGGCCAAAAGATGTCCTAGGTGCTCGAATGCCCTGAAAGGGCAGAATCCAGCTTATTTTCCTATACAGTAATTACAAAGACATTGTGGATGTAACATCCCTCAGTTTCTTGCCTTCGGCCCACCAAATGTGGATGACAAGTGCAAGATGAAGGAATATAGGTGGGAGGACTAATATTCAGTGACAAACACAGCAATATTGATGAAGGCGCCATGAGTGGCAGGCAGCTGCCTCACACTGTTGACAGTGTGAGGTGGCAGGCAGCTGCCTCACGCTGTTGACAGTGTGAGGTAGCTGCCATCCTCCCGTTTAGATATCAAAGCACAGGTTTTTTTTTAACTTATAACTATGTGCACAGAGTATAAACATTGACATACTAAGCAATTAGATAGTAGGATTTTGTACTATTCACTGTATAGATTCCAAAAAAATTAAACTAATAAACAAACTTAAATATTCCTAGGCCCTAGTATAGCATACACATGTACTATGTTAGGCCTCAGATAGCATGTATTAGACCTAGGAAGATTAGGTTAGGTTAGTTTGTCTTTGCAAAATAAATAGAAAATCATTTCCAGTTTGTCCAATTTGTACTTTCTAATTATGTTGTTATCTTGAGATGATTTCGGGGCTTTTAGTGTCCCCGCGGCCGGTCTTTGACCAGGCCAAACTTTGTACTTTGGTATATGTACTGTGGTCCTCATTGTCACTATAAATACTACACAAACTTCTAAGCTTGTAAAATGGTAAGCTGCTAACATGGATGAAAAATTTCCTAACTGACAGAAAAATGAGGGCCGTAATCAGAGGCAATGTATCGGATTGGAGAAATGTCACGAGTGGAGTACCACAGGGTTCAGTTCTTGTACCGGTAACGTTCATTGTCTACATAAACGATCTACCAGTTGGATTACAGAATTATATGAACATGTTTGCTGATGATGCTAAGATAATAGGGAAGACCTGAACAAAATAAGTATATGAAGCAACACTTGGCAATTGGAATTTAATGTGAATAAATGCCATGTTATGGAATGTGGAACTGGAGAACATAGACCCCACACAACCAATAAATTATGTGAGAAATCTTTAAAGAATTCTGACAAAGAAAAGGATCTAGGGGTGGTTCAAGATAGAAAACTGTCACCTGAGGACCACATTAAGAACACTGTGTGAGGAGCCTATGCTACCCTTTCTAACTTCTGAATTGCTTTTAAATACATGGATGGAGAAATACTAAAAAAACTGCAGGAACATGACAAAGTTGACGCCCTTGCTAAGGCTGCAGTAAATAAAGACAGTATTGAACGGAATCTTGAGTTATCAAATACTGTAGGTCCCTTAAGTGTCATTAGACGAGAACTCCTGGATGAATTTGAAGAAAGTAGAACAGTGCAAACTAGAACTAGCAGGTCCATTGTTCATCACAATGAAATGTGTGAAGTAAAACATGTGTATGGGGTAAGTAACTAAGTCAGTAGACTAACAGATGTTGTCACAGCTCGTATAAGACTTGGCTACAAGTATCTCTGGCAGTTCGGCTTGTATAGGGATCTAGATGAAGTAAAGTGTGTGGACAAAGACAGCGACACACACTCGAACACTATATCTTGGATTGTAGTAAAATTGAGCCATTTAGAGATAAATCTAAGCTCACTCTGTATGATATGGCAACCTATCTTATTACCATGGATAAATTACCCGAAATCCTTACACTGTACAGTATCCACATTTCGCTTCCAGTAGATGAACGACATATGAGATTCAGAAACAAGCAGTGTATTGTGAGGACTAATAATAAACAGAAGCTCCCCTATGACTCTGTAATATCCCCATTGGTCAAACTATTATGTATTAGCGATAAGACCTACCATTAATGTATGACGACTTACTGTAAATATATAGCTCTTGAAATAACACTTTCTCTGTAACTAGCTGACATTGTAACTATAAAGTGTGAAGGATAGATGAAACTGTTTATGTAATAATCTATGATGAGGTCTAATAAAGACCTTTTGTGCCCTCTGTAATGCTTTTGCGCTACCGCTCACAGGATGAGTATGGGGTGCACAATAAACTAGCCGCCTTCGGCAGTAACAATAAAAAAAAATCAATAAAGAAATTGTTCATGACTTTTGTTAAACCAAAGCTGGAATACGAAGTGGTTGTATGGTGCCCATATCTTAAGAAGCACATCAACAAACTGGAAAAGGTGCAACGACAAGCCACTAAGTGGCTCCCAGAACTAAAGGACAAGAGCTACGAGGAGAGGTTACAGGCATTAAATATGCAAAAACTAGAAGATAGAAGAAAAAGAGGCAATATGATCACTACGTACAAAATAATAACAGGAATTGATAAAATTGATAGGGAAGAATTCCTGAGACCTGGAACTTCAAGAACAAGAGGTCATAGATTTAAACTAATGAAACAAAGCTGCCAGAGGAATATAAGAAAATTCACTTTTGTAAACAGAGTGGTAGACGGTTGGAACAAGTTAGGTAAGAAGGTGGAGGCCAAAACCATCAGTAATTTCAAAGCATTATATGACGAAGAGTGCTGGGGAGACAAGACACCACAAGCATAGCTCTCATCCTGTAACTACACTTAGATAATTACAATTAGAAAATTACAAACAGGAGGATGAGCTGGATTTCCCTTATTTTTCCAGTCAAATATATACAGAAACATCTGAGATCTATAACGTATAAAAGACTGCAGAAAATCAGTGAGGATGACCCAGCAACATGTAAAGAACTGCGTTGCCACTTGCTATTATCTCTTGGCCTACTACCACTGAGATCCTGGATGCTGGGCAGTTCCATTGTCATATACCAATTCATCCTCCTGTTTATATAGTACTTTTTGTAACCATGTGTTGGATCATCATACACATATTGACGTATAAGGCAATCGGATAGTAAAATTTGGTACTAGTATTACTATTCACTTTATAGTCTAAAAATTAAAGATAAAAAACAAACTTACTACTATGCCTAGTATAGCACATATATGCATTATATTAGGCCTCATATAGCACGTATTAGGCCTAAGAAGGTTAGGTTAGATTTTCTTTGCAACATCAACACAAAACGTTTTCCAGTTTGTCCGAATTCAATAGTACCAATTTATACTTTCTAATTGCCTTTTACGTCAATATATGTTCGATGGTCCTCATTGTTACTATAAGTACTACCTAAACAGGAGGATGAGCTGTTTAGGTACAATAATGATTCTTGTGACTATGAAGGGGACAGGTTATGAGTGAAGAAACAGAGTGACAATTTCCAGCCATGTTCTCAACACTGCCCAGACCTAACCCAGCAACATGGCTGTGCCCAAGTAAGAGTCTTGGGGGCCAGATTCACGAAGCAGTTACACAAGCACTTATGAATGAACCTGTACATCTTTTCTCAATCTTTGGCAGCTTTGTTTACAATTATTAAAGTTAATGAGCTCCAAAGCTCCAGGAGGCTGTTTATAACAATAACAGTTGATTGGGAAGTTTTTATGCTTGTAAACTGTTTAATAAATGTAACCAAAGCCGTCAAAGATTGAGGAAAGGTGTACACGTTCGTAAGTACCTGCGTAACTGCTTCGTGAACCTGGCTCCAGGCTTCACCAGCTATTGTGGACACGTGATTGTGACTGTTTTGACACATGTCACATTCTGAAGACATTAACTCAGGCATTGTTCCTTAATATATATACACCATAATTATACTGGTATGTGTTTAGTGAGCAGGCTGCACAGGCAAAAAATAAATACTGCCTTATGAGGTTAGCGTATCTCATGAAACTGTACCACCAAAGTCATGAGTACAATGTTTGAAAAATACAACTGCGGTCGAAATATACTGTATCTTTATTACATAGTGATTTTAAGACTTCAGTGAAATAAACTTCACCGAGCTTCAGTGAAATGAACTAAATAAATAATTATGAGAATAAAAGCTTATTCCACAAAACATGAATAATTAGAAATATTTGGTCAAATATTTGTTTCACTTTGCTGATAGTGTGGAAAAGATGGCATATGTTTTCTCATTTGTACAATAAATGTTCATCATGTTTTGTGCTGTGCCAGAAACCTTGAGTTCATGAAGTGCTTGTGCTGTTTAAGGAACAAAACATGTTCATGCAATACATTGCCAGTTTGGACTAAAAATGTTTTGTGATTGTAAAGCAAGATTTGAAAGCCTGTATAAAGAGGTTTCTTCAAAAGTTTATTTACAGGCATATCATGATATGCCTGTAAAACACAATATTTTCAGGAAAATACAGTGATTGGGGTTTACCAGTACAGAATGTGGACACAAATCAATAATGAAATCAGCAAAAACTTACTTAAATTTGGGAGGTTCCATTGGATCCTTGGGTTGCTCAACCATTCGGATAACACGCTGAGTTGCTCCAGAGTTGAAGGAAACGCCCTGCTGTGATGGTGTGTAGCGTATATACTGTGCTGGTGCTTGCTTTTCTGCACATCTTACTGGCATGGCTGATGATATCTTACCCTGGTGTAAAACAAACATAATGCAGTGCTCAGAGATTTTTTTTTAAGTGAAAAATTCTAGACTAAAGTACTGTATACATCAGATAAATTAATTTTCTTTTATGCAGTCTTGCTGCCAGCTACAGACAAACTGAACTGAGACCTTACTCCCTCTCTTGAGTTGCCCTTCAGGGATTGGCCACTCCAAAAATTTCTCCTGAATGCTTTATCACCACACAAACCCACTCCTTCAAACTCTCTGACCCTCTCCAGCCCCCCTGCATTGGTCCTTTTGAAAATAATGGCAATATGTCTCCACTATATGATCTCCTTATTTCATCATTCTTGTTAAGTGATTCACAAGTATCCTACTAGTATATCCATACAATCTTGGTGGTTTGTGCTTCACTCACCCCAACATTTTATTCCCCTTTCACTCATATCATACCTCTCAAGTACCTCATTACTCATCCCACATACTTACACCAGCTGCTTTCCACTACTTGCACTCCTGAGCACTCTGCACCTTCCAATACTCAAGTTTCACTTCCATATGTAATGGCTGTAAGTAGTTTACTCTTTATCAGTCCATCCTTAACTTCCATACTGACATTCCTTCCTTTCATTATACTGTTCTTCCTCTCTCTCCCACTCATTATTCTTTCTTATTTCACCTTTCATTATACTGTTCTTCCTCTCTCTCCCACTCATTATTCTTTCTTATTTCACCTTTCATTATACTGTTCTTCCTCTCTCTCCCACTCATTATTCTTTCTTATTTCACCTTTCATATACCTATTTTGATACTACACTGCTCCTAACTATTTAATACATATTACATCTTCCAGTATCTTTCCCCCATTTTTATCCTATACTTCAAATCGCTCTGCCATGTTACTAAGAATCTTAATAATTCACAACATACTATTCCAATGTCTCATACACCATAATCATACCATGTTTACACCGACATTCAACTTCTCTCTCTCACGTACACTATCACACTCATTTGTAATCATTTGCAATTCCTCCTCTCGGCAAAAAATACCAGATCGTCTGCATACAAACATTCATAAGCTTACCTCTATTTAAATGCTTTAATATTTTTATATTTGAATATTACATTCATATTTGTCTAACCACCAACCTGGCTTGAACCCTAAGACTGCTATTCAGTTCACAAGAAATATAGCCATTTAAAACAATACTTGTAACTTAGCATTGATGCAAAATACAAATGAAGCAAATTGGAAATGCACTTTTAAATGTAACAAAAGCATTTCTGAACGAGATCCACAAATAAAATTTCTACAATTCAGAACACTGTCACAGACCTTAGATATCAGAAAAAAAGGGTACAGTAATGTACAAAAATGAGAGGAAACTGCTACAGTATGTCTTTGGCTTACACTAAACTTAAGTAAAATATACAGAGGAACCTCGAGTGAAGAGTAGCCCCATCTAAAAGCATTTCAGGTAATGAGCGAGCCACTCGTTAAGGCAGAAAATTTATCTTGATTAACGAGAAAACCACGTGGTTCTTCCTAGTGTTCCCGCTGGTTCTCGCAAATTCTCAGACACCTCCGACGACAGTATTGTATTATCATGCAGGACAAGCCTCCCTCTGCATTTATTTGCACTTTTCTTTGTTTTTTTTTTGTGGTTTTGTGACTACAATTTGTTACCCACGATGTCGCAAAAGCCGCTGCTTGCTAAAGATAGTGTTGTCAAGAGACAGAAAGACAATTACTGCAGATTTGAAGAAGGAAATCGCCTGACTCAGAGGTGGATTCTCTTTCCACACCGTAACCCCTCTCCTCCTCCACCTCCCCATCATCTCCCTCAAGCCAGCAACAACTCTTCATAAGGTAAAGTACAATTGAAAACAGTAGAACAAAACATTTATAATAATTACATGTATTATATTACATTATAAAATTTCATACTGATGTTTTTCGGGGGTTATCTTGAGTATGGTTGTCTTGAGATGATATCGGGGCTTTAGTGTCCCCGCGGCCCGGTCCTCGACCAGACCTCCACCCCCAGGAAGCAACCTGTGACAGCTGACTAACACCCAGGTACCTATTTTACTGCTAGGTAACAGGGGCATAGGGTGAAAGAAACTCTGCCTGTTGTTTCTCGCCGGCGCCTGGGATCGAACCCAGGACCACAGGATCACAAGTCCAGCGTGCTGTCCGCTCGGCCGACCGGGTGGAACGGATTAATTTTATTTCCATTATTTTAAATGGGGAAATTCGTTTCGCAAGACGAGCATTTCACATGACGAGCTCGGTGCCGGAACGGATTAAATTCATTAATCAAGGCTCCTCTGTATATAAATATTACAGATAAAGAAAAAATATGATTCATAATGCCTAAATTGTAATCATACTGTAGTTATATACCTGCGTAAGTTTCTCCAATGCTTGTCTGGTCTTCTCAGTTGTGTCTTCTATCTCCTCAATTGATGGCCGCTGGAGATCCGGGTCGTCCTCTGAAGTGATGGCCGAAGGTAAAAGATCTGTGAGTTTGGAGTAAACAATCTAGGAAGAAAAAATATCGCATTAGACTTTCACTTCACAAAGATGTACGAGACGCCTCAAACAAGAACTAGACATGATGTTGTTGTTGTTTTAGACTCGGCTACTCGGAACAAAAAGTTCAAAGTAGCACAGGCTATGGTGAGCCCGTAGTGGACATGTAAGAACTAGACAGCATACAATTTGGGTTGATGTATTAATATCATTTAAACTGGAGACCTAGAAGACAAGTACAGTAAACTAATTGGAGTGAGTGACAAGCATTTACTGGTCCACTATGATTTGCTTTGGATGTACAGTATTGACAAAATATAAAGACTTCACAAAAGCTTTCAATAAATGGAGCTCTGATGTAAAAGCACAAAATGCCCACAATATGAGTAACTGGAAATAGAAATCAACTTCCTAACAAACAATAACCAGGGGATAATAGTCAACAAAGCAAATTAACCCCCCCATATCGTGAAAATCTCTACCCTATGGCTACGTGTACTTACCCCAGTACATTGACACTCCCATATCCAACCTAGGTAAGACAAATTATAGTTGTGTATCATGCCGAGTATGGTGATACTAATTTGTTTATGAGATTAATAGCCATAGTGGATCTAACAATTCCAAACTGAAACAAACCAAGTAATTCAGTGATTACAGAAAACGATATAATGTTCAATGAAGAAAAACTCAAGCTTCTGCAATATGGAGGAAATAAACAAGATAAAAAACATACAAATAGTTAGACCGTATCATAGAGGGAACGTAAAACACTGGGAAAACTGCCTGTCAAAAAGGACTTACATTTAAAGAGCGTAATATAGTACTGAATTATTCCCAACTGTACAAAAATTTACAGGTTGTATATCAAGAACTTCTTAAAACAAGAAAAGCCAACGATGAAATATGATGAAATTTTATAAAGCACTTATACTCTCCAGGAAGACACAGGGATTTGATAAACCAACGCCAATTACCGAGTTTTAAATCAATTTGTCATTCCCTTCATTGTAGAAGTAGGGAAACTGGGCTAGGCACCCATCCAAATTAATTGTTTAACTTAAATGCTGTATATATTTTTTCATCAGGTTAAACAAAAAAGAAGTACAGGTATCTATACAGAATGTGTTATGTCTAGAAGAAATGAATGTCTTCAGTTGTTCATCAACATCATATTCAGGAGCTAGCTTAGATCAAAGTCACTGAGAATACACACTTAAATAATACTTTAACAAGACTTAACAAGGGGTATGCTGAATATCATTGCTGGCTAGTTTTAGATATCCTGTAGATTTGCTATACCATTATATACTAAATTACAATTATACATTAATTACATCATACTTACATGTACATTACATTATAATATGTAATACTAAATTACATTATACACTATACATTAATCTAAAGTTGAATTTTCTTAAAATTAAGCTTCCAGAGTCATTTACATAAATCTATGACACTAGAAGTCCAAGTATCAAGCCCAACAGAACCCTATTTGCCACTTCACTCAACCCAACAAATAGGAAACCTTGTCTTTTGCTACTTGTCAAATAGTCTCTAATCCAGTCCAGTTATCTTTCCCAGGAAATCCAGCCTGTTTCTCAACTTGCAGCTCAGCCTTTTGTGAGGGACAGTGTCAAGGCTTTTTAATAATCTAAGACGATACAATCCTCACATCGTTACACACGGCCCGAAACAATCCTCGTCACGGCCCTTGTGGATTTGCTCGCATCGTTCTCTCTCCTACTATACTTAACGACCTTATAGAAGAGCTCCATGAGGTTGGAAAGGCATCCTTCCTTTTCGTCAACCATGCTGTCTTTCAGTTATAGTAAATCCTTCAAAATGTTCTACTATCATCTTTCAAATTATTTGCTCCGTATTTCACCTGAGATACAAGTCAATGACAAAGGTCCGTAGTTTAAGGCATATCTATTTGCTTTCTTGAATATAGCTGTAATGTTTGCAGTCCTTTATGTTTCTGGGAATGTATCAATTGCTAGGGTCACATTAGAAACCATTAGTATCTTTAATACCTCTTAATTGCCACATGAAACTCTGGTCTGGTCGTACTGCTTTGCTTACATATAATTATTCCAAATGATTTTTTTACCTGTAGCAACACTTCCCACCCTAGATTGACCTGTAGTAACACTCTCCACCCTAGCCTGACCAGTAGCAACTCTCCACACCCTAGCCTGACCTGAGGTAACACTCCCAACCTCAATCACAAACTAAGCATACAATGTTAAAGTTAAATCAAGAGTTTTAAATTACTTTTCAGCATATGTACGATAGAATACTGAGGTAAGCGAGTTAGTGCGGTGCATTTGTGACATGTGTTTACCAGTTGTGTTTTTACGGGGGTTGAGCTTTGCTCTTTCGGCCCGCCTCTCAACTGTTTACTAACTACTATTTTTTTTTTTTTTTTCTCCACACCACACACACACACACCCCAGGAAGCAGCCCGTGACAGCTGACTAACTCCCAGGTACCTATTTACTGCTAGGTAACAGGGGCATTCAGGGTGAAAGAAACTTTGCCCATTTGTTTTTGCCTCGTGCGGGAATCGAACCCGCGCCACAGAATTACGAATTCTGCGCGCTATCCACCAGGCTACGAGGCCCCCTCGTATGTGCTGAGGTGGTTGTGATAAGTGATGTAGGCGAGAAAGCATAGACAAATCCAGCTGCTGCGAGAAACACCTAACTCCTGTTGCAAAAGCAGACTTAGTAGGACATTAAAGGCCAAGGCTGTAGAAGACTGGAGGTCTAGAGCATCACCCTAGCAGAGTAAATCGAGTCACTGTGCTGTGTCTGGTCACCTCAGCAGTAGTTCTCAGCCTGGTGTTGAAATGTGTGTATTTATATAGTTGGAGAGGAGTGGCATACTTCCAGGAAGTATGCAAGGCCAGAGTCCCATGAAGCTGAACCACAGTGTTCCCAAACCAAGTAGTTGTGATAACAGGACTCGGGCAACAGGTGATTTGCCACTGTATTATACTCTATAACTGTATTCTTTAATACTTTGTATTAAACTTAACAAATATTAATAAAATTCTAAATAATTTCACAGAAGACCTATAGTGTATTTTTTTTATGTATATTTCTGCACAGGCCCTAAGCATCTGGCTGGTCCACTAAGCGTTGCTTGTTTCTGTTTTACTTGGCAGAGTATGAGTATTTATGACTCTTATGGTAGCTTCAGTAAGATTTTGTCCCACGTGTTTAACAACTTCTTCCGCTCTGTTGAATCTAAGTTGAAATCTTAATGGGTTTGTAACTCTGCACTGTGTTAGATAATGTTCCAGTGATCTCTCGGGCATTTCTCCACAGTGCTGACATTTCCTCTCATCTTCCGGAACATGTAAGCCTATTTCCCATGCACATGGGTATCCAAGCCTGATGCGATGTAAGTGTACTTCTGTTGTTCTACTACTCCCTTTCATCAAACTAAGTGGTTCGTAGTTGGTTGAATTCTTGTACCAACCCGCAGCGCCTGATGTTACAACTGCTGTGTTGTGGTCACTGTACATCTTCTGCATTGCTCTGTTTCTAATTATTTTCTTAATCTGTGATAGACTCCGTGGTATGTAAATGTCTACATTTCTTCTCTTAGTTGTAAGTTTTGCAGCTTCGTCTGCAATGTCATTTCTCATTACAGTATTTCCACCTGACTTGGCACCCAGTTGATAAGTACCCGACAGCCTTGACATTTGAGTGTTTGCATTAGTGATATGACATTTGTGATCAGATGGATGTTATCACTTATGTGTTCCTGTTGCAAGGTTTCAATGGCAGTTATCGAATCTGTACTATGCGAATCTGTGACACTATGTATGATAACATGTTGTCGGTGACGAGTGTATGAATTAATGAGTGACACCCCAGTAAATGTCCTTGCTGTCTTAGAAATAACTGCTGTAATGGTAAGATGAAAAAAGATAATTAAAGGCCATGACTACCACAGACATAATGAATTTAGTATCATGAAATGAAGATTCCAAATTTTTTTATGCCAGGAGAAAATAAAAGAATCCTGAATGGTTAAGGAATGGAATACACAATCATTTAAATAAATATTTGTCATATTAAGGCTTAAACATGCACCATGGGTCAAATTAATATGGATATAGACAAAGAAAAAGGTTTTACTTAACAATAATCTCTTACTCTTGGATACTTTAGCATCAATTATGCCATTGTCACAAAAATCATTCCTTACATCTTTATATTAATAAGGGCTATACCCTCCTTGAATAACAAGTTACAGTACATCATAAATCTCACCTTATCTTTAGCATGTCCTTGTCTGGCCAATACATCATATTTTACTTTGCCTTTGTCATCTAACTGAACTGCCAGAGCATTGGAAGTTGACCCCCCTCCACCACCACCACCACCTGTGTCTCCACCTTTGCCCATTCCCAGTGGATATTGGGCTATGTGACATTCTGGAAATGCTCCACCATCTCCAAAATCCTAGAACAGGAAATTCTTATTAGATCTTTCTCAATTTGGTGAACCAATATTACATGCTGTTGTTGCCAGCTTTAATTATATACAATTTAAGGGAATCTGTAGTCATTAATCAAGAAATAGTTAACTAAAAATAAAAATGCTGTACTGTGTCTCTTGTAACTAGATTTTGCACAAAATTAAAAAGTAAGGTGGAGCTAAAGAGTAACAAAAACATTAAAAAGGGACAAGATAAAAGCAAAATCTGCACCATTGCAAGAATTTGTTAGTGTATAACATTAGCTGGAGAGTAGCAAAGTTACACAAGAATCACCAACTATTTATTGAAATAACAAACCTCCTGAGAACGAGGTAACCATCCTTTTCTGTGGCCATATGGCGGTGCTGCTCGAGACGCCGTAACCAGTGCCTGCTGTTGCTGCTGCTGCTGTTGGTGCCGTCTACGGCGCTCATCACTTTCCCGGTCCCACACCGGTGCACTCACAGGTGGCAAGATGCTACAATAAAATTAACCCAAAATTGCTTTTGTAAGATTAAATAGAAGAGTCTCAAAGTGGAAACAGGGCCGCAAGAAGCAGTAGTTGAACAACGTAACAAGAAATAGCACAAGAAGAGATGAGAGGGCATAGGAATAAGTGCCTTATTAATATATATTAATAAGTGCCTATTAACACTTTCGCGCTCTCGGCGCTCAAAAAAATACAATACCCCAGATGCTTTCGGCACTTCGCGCGCCTACGCGGTAAGACCGAAAAGTGTACACTCTTTTGACTGTCCTGACAATAATTGAAGGTGCACGTATTTAAATTTGGTATCACTGTGTTCGCAATGAAATTGTCTATAAGAGCATACCTATAAAATGCCGCCCAAGCATAAGGAGTATCAACACCAAATAAAAAACTATGCAGATCACTCGCCGAGAGCGCCAAACAGCAACAAAATGTTTCCACTCTCTTAATGGTTGCGAAGCCTACAGTTGTCCTACATCGCTGATTTTGGTATCATTGGAATCGCAATAACATTCTCTACACGGACATATGCATATGAATGTTTAATATAGGTAATTGCCCACCCGCAAGAGTGTGTGAAGTGGAGAGTTGTTAGCCGCGAGCGCACTGGCGAAAACACGGGGGAAATCATGCTTGGAAAATTTATACGTTTCCTGACCCTACTTTTCTATGTACGTATTTCTTTTTTATACCAATGTGTTCGCAATAAAATTTTCTATAAGATGAACTGTATAACATTTGTACAAAGCATGTGTAAGAGAAGCGCCAAATATAGAACCACGTCACTCAGTATGCGTTCGCGGCAGAAACGAACGCATTGTTTTCGTTCGTTTGATGTTTGTCATGTTTATACTTGTTGAAACATTTTATAATTTGTATGACAGTGATCGCAGTAAAATTCCCTACACAGACATATACATAACACATACAAATATTTCCCACGTGTTGGATATATCAACGGCTAAAGGGAACCCACTGCCACACGCTCGCCACACCCCCAAACATACTTTGTGTATTTTTTTTTTTTTACTCATAGAAGTTTATGTGATATAATATTCATTCTGGTACCAAAACATTCGCAAATAAATTCCCTACAAAACAAAAGTATCCCCATCCATTTCGGTTAAAAAATGGAATTTATAGAAATATTTTTTCGATGGACGAGAAAACTCGGCTCTTATGCGGAATCGTAAGAGAAAACGGCGACGAGTTATCTCTAATCTAAAGCGCGAAAGTGTTAATATGTATTATTTTTTAGGTTTAGCACTCGACAGTTTTGGGGTGTGAAAACACTTAATCGTTACTGACGTTTACATATTTATTGTCTGGCGCATCATTTTGTCTGGACTCAATCTGAGCTCATACTGCTCCCACCGCTTTTCATAATTTACACGAACAACATTAATTTAATATCAGTGTGACCAGTAATATCAGCAGGTTTGTTACAAACCAACAGGATGACACAAAGATAGGGTGTGTAGTGAACACTAAAGACCACTCATGACCTGCAAACAGACTTGAGTAAACGTCAATGTTGAGTGGAGAAATGGCAAATGCAGTTCAACATTGATATATACAAATTCCTTAACCTAATTGATGTTTTAAATGTGTTAAAGACATAAACAGGGTACTGAAAATGACAGAAACACGATGTACTGGTTTGGAAAAGGGAAGGATGTGGAATGGGCTGCCAGTTACCTGAATTTACCCAAGGGCCACTAACACACTAGTGGCCTCTACAATAATATTAACATTTTCCTATGAGGACAGGAAACTAACAGCTTGTCAAAGATCCCCCCCATTTGCCCTGATGATTGTCTTCCAGCTGGACTTTAAAATTTAACAGAGTTTTGGCATTTACGGAACAGCGGGTAGGCTGTTCCACGGGTTTATAACACTTATGTGGGCGAAATTCTCAGTCCATCAATGAGACAACCAGTTACACTGAGACAACCAGTGTAACAGGTTTCAAGAATCGACTGGATAGGTATATACGGAAGAGTGAGTGTGGATTTAAATAAAACAGTCTAGTACAGAATTGTGCGGTGCTTCAGAATTCCCATGTTCACCAGCCAGCGTCGGGCCACCTCATACATTCGGCTCTTCGCATTATATAAATAATTATAAATAGCATCACAGCTCGTTATGTGATTTAGGATAGGCGTGTGTATGAGTTAGAGGCGTAGTGATGTGGCCTGATAGTGGAGATGAGGGCCAGGGAGGACTGGAGAGAAGGAGCCGCAATACTCACTCAGCGAGAGACACCATCTTTGTTGACATTGGCCGTGTCCCGCCCCGACCACTTTGCTGGCAATCTCGTAATCCTCTATTATCTTCTTTTGATCCTCATAAATATTTAAATAAATAATACATAACATAAATTGGGTTAATAAAGAATCATTGCTTGAACTAGCCGCAGAGTAATTTATATATAAGGTATTTTGGTTTCGAACGCTTAATAGATTGCGCAGAACTGATGGTTCTTTTCCAGTATCAACTCTTTTCAGTTTTTTAAATGATTTAATATGGTATACAACATTATGTATTTTATGTGATATTATATATGCTTGTATTAAAATACAAAATACTTCAGCTAACACACATAAGCTATATAATTGAGACGCCCTCCGACTGGTAATTATAATAATAATAATAATAATAATAATAATAATAATAATAATAATAATAATAATAATAATAATAATAATAATAATAATAATAAGTTTAATAATAATAATTTATTTGCAAGTTTTTAGTTAGCAAAATTAGCAAAAGTTAGCAAAATTAGGTATACACAGCAATGTGCTGCTACCCTATTCTATATGAGATATTACAGTGTAGATCAAGAACTAGCTATAGGTTTAACAATTAGTCCCATCTCAGAGGACGGTTAGTCATACATGGAGTTAGGGGAGATAATACCTGCCTTAATACAAAAACAAACCAACTCTGACTAAACAGCTGCTGGCTATAGGTTCATCTATAAGTACAATTAATGAGTTGGTGAGATTACATAAGTTTTTGTTAAGTTCATTTATTATGCACCCCATACCCATCTTGTGGGCGGTAGTGGAAAGAGTTACAGAGGCACATAATGGGCTCAGGGACTGAACCCCACAATTCATTTAGCTAAGCAAGTTACAATCTTGATGAGCTAGTTACAACATTCAATTCACATCGTCACATCAACAATGGGATGTAACAACATAAATTGCAACAGAACAGCAGAAGTAATTTTAACTAAATAAGCTGACTACAATTTTCTTATATATATATATATATATATATATATATATATATATATATATATATATATATATATATATATATATATATATATATATATATATATATATATATATGTCGTACCTAGTAGCCAGAACGCACTTCTCAGCCTACTATGCAAGGCCCGATTTGCCTAATAAGCCAAGTTTTCATGAATTAATTATTTTTCGACTACCTAACCTACCTAACCTAACCTAACCTAACTTTTTCGGCTACCTAACCTAACCTAACCTATAAAGATAGGTTAGGTTAGGTTAGGTAGGGTTGGTTAGGTTCGGTCATATATCTACGTTAATTTTAACTCCAATAAAAAAAATTGTCCTCATACATTATGAAATGGGTAGCTTTATCATTTCATAAGAAAAAAATTAGAGAAAATATATTAATTCAGGAAAACTTGGCTTATTAGGCAAATCGGGCCTTGCATAGTAGGCAGAGAAGTGCGTTCTGGCTACTAGGTACGACATATATATATATATATATATATATATATATATATATATATATATATATATATATATATATGTCGTACCTAGTAGCCAGAACGCACTTCTCAGCCTACTATGCAAGGCCCGATTTGCCTAATAAGCCAAGTTTTCCTTAATTAATATATTTTCTCTAATTTTTTTCCTATGAAATGATAAAGCTACCCATTTCTTTATATATGAGGTCAATTTTTTTTTATTGGAGTTAAAATTAACGTAGATATATGACCGAACCTAACCAACCCTACCTAACCTAACCTAACCTATCTTTATAGGTTAGGTTAGGTTAGGTAGCCAAAAAAGTTAGGTTAGGTTAGGTTAGGTAGGTTAGGTAGTCGAAAAACAATTAATTCATGAAAACTTGGCTTATTAGGCAAATTCGGCCATGCATAGTAGGCTAAGAAGTGAGTTATGGCTACTAGGTACGACATATATATATATATATATATATATATATATATATATATATATATATATATATATATATATATATATATATATATGTTTTGTACAATTTTATACATGACAGATATCAGCAGTTATACAAGTTAGTCAATAATCAGTATTGTTTGAAAATAGCAAGACATGGGTTGACATTTAGGAGGTAAGGTAGGTTATATGGAGTTTATTAGATAGTAATTAGTTTTTCTCTTAAACTGGTTGAGGGACAATCTTTGACGTGATTGGGAAGGTCCCTTTTCAATCAAAATTCTACATTCTGGGTCCCTTGATTTGTAGAGCATTTCTAGTTTGATTAAGTCGTACTCTTGGAATATCAAATAGGTATTTGTTTCTGGTGTGGTGCCCATGGGTTCTCTTACAACCTTCTAGGAAGCTTCTAAGGTCAGGATTGACATTACAGTTCAGAGTTTTAAATATATAGAGTACACATGAGAGGATGTGCAGTGACTTAATATCTAACATATGCAAAGATTTTAGTAAGGGTACCGAATGCTGTCTGGGTCCAGAGTTAGATATTGTTCTAATAGCAGCTTTGTTGGGTAATTAGAGGACGTAGATGATTTTGGGTAGTAGAACCCCAAGCACAAATACCATAATTGAGATAAGGATAGATGAGAGAGTAATAGAGCGTCACCAGGGCAGGTCGGCCGGGCGAGGTACATAATATCTGATCTTAAAAAGAATGCCAACAGTTTTAGAAACTTTTTTGTTATATTTAGAATGTGTCCCTGGAAATTCAGCTTGTTATCAATGAGAACACCAAGGAATTTGCCATCAACTTTGTTACTGATCTGGATATTGTTTATTCTTAGATTAATTTAACTTGAGGATTTACTACCAAATAAAATATAGAAAGTTTTGTCAATGTTAAGGGTGAGTTTGTTAGCAGTTGGCCAAAGATGGACATTATTTAGTTCAGTATTCACTGTGACATTAAGGGTAAGAGGGTCGGGCATGAAGGATGTGTCATCCTTCAGGGCATGAAGGATGTGTCATCCTTCAGGGCATGAAGGATGTGTCATCAGCAAATAAGACTGGTTTGAGGTGTTGAGAATAATTTCTTTCTTTATTATGCACCCCATACCCATCCCGTGGGCGGTGGTGTAAAGGATTACAGAGGCACATAATCGGTTCAGGAACTGAACCCTCTAGTTCGTTTAGCTAAGCAAATAACAATCTTTTGACGCTAGTTACAAAATTATTAATGGTACATATACATGTACACATACTCATGCATACATGTACATATACATACGTATACATATATGCATACACATACATATTTAATCACCCACACAAATACACACATCAATAATCTTGTGCCACAAGTGATTCAACAAGAGGCTCACAACAGTCACTATACAAGGCACTTTACATCTATGGTGAGTCACACAGTTACTAGTCTTGCTCCACACCCACCCAACTGGGCGGCAGCTTTACAGTCATATGCTCCACACCCACCCAACTGGGCGGCAGCTTTACAGTCATATGCTCCACACCCACCCAACTGGGCGGCAGCTTTACAGTCATATGCTCCACACCCACCCAACTGGGCGGCAGCTTTAGTCATGTGCTCCACACCCACCCAACTGGGCGGCAGCTTTACAGTCATATGCTCCACACCCACCCAACTGGGCGGCAGCTTTACAGTCATGTGCTCCACACCCACCCAACTGGGCGGCAGCTTTACAGTCATGTGCTCCACACCCACCCAACTGGGCGGCAGCTTTACAGTCATATGCTCCACACCCACCCAACTGGGCGGCAGCTTTACAGTCATGTGCTCCACACCCACCCAACTGGGCGGCAGCTTTAGTCATGTGCTCCACACCCACCCAACTGGGCGGCAGCTTTAGTCATGTGTATACATTACTTACCGTAAGCAAATTTTGGATACTTCGCTAAGATTTCGGGCAGCACATCATTATGAATGAAGTACTTACACATTTCTTGGACACTATTGATGGTGTTATCTCTAAATTCCATAATTTTTTCACATTCCATTATATAATGACGCAAAGTATGCGAATAGTTCTGCTGACAGAGTTTACATTTAGTCAGATCTACATCAGCAGATGTTACAAATTCCCAGAGATACTTGTAGCCGAGCCTAAGCCTAGCAATGGTAACATCTAGAAGTCTGCTAACTTTATTGGATGACCTATAGACGTGCGGTACTTCCTGTATAATAGAATGATGATAGATGGAGTAACTGGTGTGAATTTCACTTTGCCTGAAGTCTCCGAAATTTAATTGATGTTCCCGGAATATTACTGCCCTCAGGCTGCTCAAAGGCAGTCCAAGTTGGTAATCAATTCCCTCTTTACGATCAAAAGTCTTGGCCAACTCATCAGTTCTATCATGCATTCGGAGACCAATATGGGAAGGAATCCACAGGAGACAGACTCTGACTCCATCACTGATTATTTCATTATATCTGTGTCTAGCATCAGAGATAAGCACGTCACAGTTATGCCTTGGGGAGCTGAGGGCAGTCAAGGATGACAAGAAGTCTCTTACAATTAGCGTGTCAACTTTGGATTCATATACGCGCTCGAGTGCAAGGATTATGGCAACCAATTCTCTTTGAAGAGTGGAGGTTATCTTCTTGAGATCTTGAGATGATTTCGGGGCATTAGTGTCCCCGCGGCCCGGTCCTCGACCAGGCCTCCACACCCAGGAAGCAGCCCGTGACAGCTGACTAACACCCAGGTACCTATTTACTGCTTGGTAACAGGGACATAGGGTAAAAGAAACTCTGCCCATTGTTTCTCGCCGGCGCCCGGGATCGAACCCAGGACCACAGAATCACAAGTCCAGCGTGCTGTCCGCTCGGCCGACCGGCTCCCAAAGGCCCAGTTACTTAGACGCGCTCCACACTCATAGGAGAAGGAACCATCTCTCCCTGTCACAACAACTGCACTTCCAGCTGCACCATGGGACTGATGCAAGGATCCATCAATGTAAATAATCTGGGAAAGGGAGCACTCTCTGACTAAAGCATCAATTTGGCTTAAGGCATTGTACTTTGCTTCTTGTCGAAGCAAGGCTTATTTTTTAATCAGCTTTTTGGGTGGGAAAGGGGGGGGGGACAGTAATTTGGAAAGGAGTGATCTCCCATGGGGCAGGAAAGTGTTGTTGTTGTCTCTCTTGGTAGA